CAAGGAAAACTTTGAATCAACTAAGCAGCTGAGTTACTCAGATTAGGTGGAATACTGAAAGTGTTTGAATATTAAAGATCTTCAGTCCTTGATCGTCGAAGGAAGTTACTTCATGCCATAGGTGAAAAACGCAATAAAATATTGTTCATTATAATTATGGATTTGAATGAATTTGAAATTCAGGAAAGACAGAAACATTGCTGAAGTTGACAGAATATTGAAAAATTGGAGAACTGTAGAGATCTACTGTTAATCAATTTCCAGTGATTATCTCAGATAAATTGAATGAACACAAAATACTTGAATAATAATAATAATAATAATAATAATAATAATAATAATAATAATAAATAGGCCGGACATTATTGTCAAAAACCAGAAAGAAAAACTTGCCTACTAATTGATGTGGCTTGTCCAGCGGATTGTAACATAGCAACCAAGGAATTTGAAAACTATCAAAATACAAAGACCTGAAATTGAAATAGAAAAAATGTGGAAATTGAAAACAAGAATAATACCAGTGGTAATAGGTACTTGGAATTATAAAAATGGAACAAAACAACACATTGAAAGAATCCACTGAAACCCCAGCTTAAAAGAGACATACAGAAAATTGTCTTATTAAGTATAGCACACACACTAAGGAGAACTTTGTCTATGTAACGCTAGCAACTTCATCGGAGATAAAAAAAAAAAAAAAATTAAATTAACATGAAATGTGGCCATAACAACACACACCACGACCTGCCTTAGGTCTTTCCACCGACTTGGTAGGTAGTGTGTCCATAGCAATAATAATAATAATAATAATAATAATAATAATAATAATATTCAAAAAAGTTGTCAAAGTACAAGGACCATGAAATAGAAATCACGAAAAAATGTGGCATATAGGAACATCAACAATCCCTGTTGTGGTTGGAGCCCTAGGACTGGTTAGGAAAGATTCCAGTAGACTAATTGAAGGGATTCCTGGAAGTCCATGCCTCAAGGAGATACAGAAAATTGTTCTGACAAGTACAGCCCACACCTTACGAAGGGCTTTATCTATGTAATCTTTTTTTTTTTTTTTTTTTTTGTCAGTAGTAAAACAAGACGCCATTTCCCAACCTTAGGTCCCTCAAGGGACCCGGAAAGAAATGTGCAACGCCAGAAATCAAAGAAAATAAAATAATAATAATAAAATAATAATAATGACGGAGCGTAAGTGTTAAATTGTATTTAATTGGAATAGCGCCAAATACTACAGAAAATTCTGAAATTTCAGGAAAGTCGGTTCTGATTAACTCATAGCTGGTGTCACCGAGATACTGAGGTAAGTGCAACGATTTGAGAAACTTATTCTGTCGCCTGCCAATAATGATAAGATATGTGAATATTGGAAATGCTGAACAATTAATAATAATAATAATAATAATAGGTACCAGGTTTCACGGTGTTGATCCCACTGAATATAAAACTCAGCATAATGAGTGGGCCAATATATGCGCTGGAAAACTGCAGCTTTTACGGGAAGGAAACATCAAAAACTGACATGAACATCACCCCAGACCCTGTTAAAAACATAGAACCTGTAACAACATTTATGGGATTTTATTTTACACAGATAGAACAATCAAAAATAATCAGCCATACATCGTGATAAAAGACAACAAGAACAGAATGTAATTTCTTATTGACACAGCAATCCTTGTAACTTTGAAGATATTAAAAAAAACAAAACACATGGATCTTTGAATGGAAATCCCAAAATGTAATATGAGGACATCAATAATTCCAGTTAGAGCTAGCGCTCGGTTTGATTGGAAAAAGCGTCAGATAGACCTCACTGAAGGGGGTTTCTTGTAATCCATGCCTTTAAGAAATACAAAAAATAAAATGTCCTTGGTGCAGCCGACACATTAGGAAAAGCTTTATAGTGTAAATTGTTTTTTTTTTTTTTTTTTAAAATGGTCAGTGGAAAATATGAAGCCATTTCTGACATTAGGTCTATGGTTGGGACCCTGAAGCAAATGTGTAAACAATCTAAACCAAGGAATAATAATAATAATAATAATAATAATAATAATAATAATAATAATAAAATAATAATGTTGAGAACGCAACAAGGAACAAACACTGATAATTTTCTCTACGACTATTGGGATTCATCATGACCGAGGTCAAGAAGTTTCATTTTTTTTTTTTTTGAAGGATGAGACAGAAAAGGTGACAGAAATTCACATTTAGATGCCGAACACCATCAGTCGGAAACAGACTAAGTGGACAGGATTACCCAGTGTGAAATAATTTCTATCTGTACTTCACCTACAAGGTTATGTTCTGATTTATCAAACCATATCAAGTATGATTTGCTGTGAAGCATGTGCCGGTGTAGCAGACTCTGTGTCTTGCTGGGTATATTGGGCATCGTACCCCAGCATGAATTTGTTGGTGTCCTGCTCTCATTCAATATCACAACAATAATAATAATAATCCCATATACTAAGAAAAGTGCTATCAGTTAAAGGACAATTCTATATAGGACCCAAGGACCATAGTTTGGACCCGGCTTACGGGAGACAAAGTAGGAAACATAATATACACAAAATAAAAAATAATAATAATATGTTTGTCAAACCACGACATTGATATCGAGGATACTAGAAAAACGTTCGAGATTTGAAGAGAATTGCCGCCATCCATTCTTTAATGATTACAACCAGGCTTTGTAGTTACTTGTATATATATATCAAAGATAAACTACTAAGATTACTACTAATAATTAATGACTGAAGAGTGCAAGACTAAAAAACGTATTTACCAGGTTGTTTGATTTGTATTTTTATGGCTTTATCAACCATTCGTAGGTCACTTAAATTTAAAAAAAATTTTGAATTGCAAGAATTTTTTAGAAGAGATAATAATGATTTACTGATACATGTCCTACTAATTAACCCATAGCATGAGGGAGAAGAGATTCATACATTTCTCAGAGTGTTGTGCATAAGGAACATAAAGTAATCCAACTGAACTCAGACCACCGATTTCGATTCCGAGCCGTTATCCATTAGACAATCCCCGCAACACTGGTTATTCCCAAGCAGTCACCCATCTAGATACTGACCAGAATCTTTTTGCTTAAATCCTTCGGTGATCGTACGAAAACCGATGTTTCAAAATATGTCCGTAAGCCCGTTTTTACCAGGAATTACGAGGCAAACATAAAAAGAATCGTGCAGATCCGATATTTTGAGACTATTGGTCGTTTAGTGTCAAGTTGTTGCCGAAGAAATTTGAGATCAATAAGGTTCAGGGGGACATTATATACAATCAAAAATTGTATGAACATCAACCTATAACTAGTCACAGAACCATGTGGTTACTATTCTTTGGAACGTTACTATTCATACTTACACAAATATAAGCTGATAATCCAGATATTGTGCTTAAGATTGAGCATAAAAATGTCTTCTCATAGATTACCATCAGATAAAAAATATTTGCTAAATAATGGCAAAATAAGTATTTGGCAATTGAAACTGAAATTGAAAATATGATTCTTTAAAATTATTGCTATAATAATTGGAGATCTAGTAGGATAAAACATTTAGGAAGGAACATTATAGGATCACATATAAACTGTTTACAAAAAGATTTTACAAAATAACAGGAAGGAACTGTTCACTATAAGAAGAATTACTACCAATGTAAAGAAAATCTTTTATGTTACGTATTAATTAACATCAAATTTGTGCAAATATTTACGACCTTGTCTTACACTAGATTCTGATAAAGAACAGCACGGAACAATAAGAGAAAATGGCGATGATGATGATGATGATAAATAATAATAATAATAATAATAATAATAATAATAATAATAATAATAATAATAGAAGGGAGATGAAGAAATGATGGATCATTAACATACATTGAAATTTACGATTAATATGAAGCCACCAAATTACTTGTCATGGTTGTACGCCAACCAACGACGGCTTTTACGCATTTAGTGTAATTATTTGTGCATTTATTTTTCCTGATTGAAGCCATTAGGAAGGCTTATGTATCTGTGTGTTCGTTAGGGTTGAGCAAATACATATCCACGTCACCATTTCTTTAAAATGTACACAGTCTGGTTTTCTTTTCAGTAAATGTCTACTTCGAGAGGTCGATTATAACAGATGATTGAATTATCGCTTTTCCTCGGCAGCCAGTGTTACCTGATCTGTCGTTAATGTTGAATCTTTTGTTTATCTATCTATATATCTATCTGTCTATCTATCTATCTATCTATCTATCTATCTCTCGCAAGTCTTATTCTATTTTTCTATCTATCATCTACTTCATCTATCTATCTATCTATCTATCTATCTATCTATTGCAGTCTTTATTCACTAATCTATCATGCAGTCTATTTCTATCTATTTATATATGTACATACACACAGGAATACAAATATCGATGTGTGTGTGTGTGTGTGTGCATATATATATATATATATATATATATATATATATATATATATATATATATATATATAGAGAGAGAGAGAGAGAGTCAGAGAGGGAGGGATATTAGTACCCACAATTTTGTCAATACACATCTAAATATATGTATGTGTTTGAGTAAAAAAATTGTGTGAATTGTGCATGATATTATATATATATATATATATATATATATATATATATATATATATATATATATATGTGTATATATATATGTATATATATTTATAGTTTTTGGTATTATACTTTTACTATAGGTACGTGAGAAATTTCATATATATATATATATATATATATATGTTTTTGTGTGTGTGTGTGCATATATTTATACTAATGGTTTATATACATGCTCAGGTGATGAAAAAACAAAATTTTCACAACATATATTTTCATTTTCATCTTTTAACTTGTCATGAACTTAACCCAATATTTTTCTCCAGTTATTTCAAAGAAGAAATATTATTCATGAATATTTCTGCATAAAAAAATATAATTATTAGTTAGATCTCAATGACAAACAAGTTCCATTTTCATTTTTGCATTTATAAACAGATAGATAGATAGATAGATATAGATAGATAGAGAGAGAGAGAGAGAGAGAGAAACATGAACCATCTAAGTGAGGTGTGTAGAGGGCGTGAAACAAATAATTATAAAAATAATAATGGTGATTCCTTGTACAACCATCATGCTGTCTGTCATATATTTTATACACATGTATTTTAAAGCTGGACATTGCGGACAAAAATCTCCACATTGAATTTATATAATATCATCTCTTCTAGGATTAAATTATAGAAGCTTTTGTATTTTTCTCATTGACTAAATCATCATCATGTTAGATGGCTAATTAGGATGCAAGCACTCATATCACTAGCTAAATATTAATACATTAGTGTGACTTTGGAAACATATGGATTTTACAACTATGTATTTGATAGATATACAAGTCAAAAAGAAACATCACATTGAAAAAGTAAAATTGATAATTTAAAGTTCATTTATATTTATATTTCAATATATATATATATATATATATATATATATATATATATATATATATATATATATATATATATATATATGTATATATGTATAATTATTTATATTATTAGAAAGCGCCTAATATCAGAGATAGAGTTAAGATATTGATAGATTCTGACCCTGGTTTCACGCTTTAGCGTCAGATCGCTAAAAGTGTGAAACCCAGGTCACAAACTCATCTATCCAACTAAATATATATATATATATATATATATATATATATATATATATATATATATATATATATATATATATATATAAACAGACTAAAAGAGTGTATAGACATGGATTGAAATATATACATAGAAGGGTAGATATGAACAGACTGGAAATAGATGGATAAGCATAGACAGATAAAAGGAACAGTCTGAAATAGATAGATAGATAGATACACGATAGATAGATAGATGAATAGATAGGATAGATAGATAAAGTTAGGAGAGATTGATTGATAGATATAGGAAAAGAGAAAACAGTCAGATGAAAATTGTAGATAAATGTCAATAAACGGATAGACGTTGATATGAAGAATCTTAAATAAAATATATGTGAACAAATATAGATATCTACCAACAGTTATAGATTGACAGGCATGAACACACATAGATTCATAGTTAAAAGAGGAAGTGGTAGATAAAAGGATGAATTAAATAGACATAGATAGATGAATGGATAGGATAGATAGATAGATAGATAGATAAAACAGACTGAGATAAAGAGGTAGATAGATATGGGGAATAGGTAGAGTTAGATAGAATTATATATGTAGCTAGCTAGTTACATAGATAAGAACAAACATATTCATCTATCTATCTATCTCTATTCATCTATCTATCTATCCTCTATCTCTCTCTCTCTCTCTATATATATATATATATATATATTTATATATTTTTAGATGGATAGATAGGTTGATAGATAAAAAGACCGTTTAGATATTTTTATGAAAAAATAGACCGATACATAGATAAGTAGAGAATTATATATATATATATATATATATATATATATAAGAAAAGAGAGAGAAAGAGAGATAGACAAACAGATAGAGAGGGAAGAAAGGACAGTTACTGTTAGATAATAATTATATAGATGATAGATAGATAGATAGATGAATTAGATGAATAGATAGATTAATGTGAGAATAGATTGAGATAGATAGACAGATAGATGATATAACATCAAATATTCAGTTAAAGTCAGGTAAACAGTATTCTTATAACCGATAGTCTCCAGAAGTATACATGGGCTCAATAGAAGAAAATCACTAAACTGGGAATATTCTACAGGTTTTAGGCATTATGCAGCAAAGAACCTTTTTGCTGTAAAAGTGTAAGATGATTTTCCTTGATTCTGCCTCAATCAAACAACTACTTAAAACAAGACAATAATTTTGCAAAACGTGTACTTTTATTAAGTATTTTTACGCAGGCCAATCCATGAAAGTATTTTTTTGGTTTCTTGAATTACAAATAAAACAATGGCATGTATTCCTGAAATATTAGACGAAGGTTTTTTATCCATCCATAACTGAGAAAGGTTTGCATGAAGCTTTGAAGTTAGTAAAAGACTTCGAACAGTTATAGACAATGTTGCATTGTCGCAAATTTGTGTTGTTCCGCATTGGCGAGGCATGGATTTAGAAATCAGTCAATGGCGCAGTTGATGTCACACAAGGTCTGTTCCTGGTTTGATGAGCCTGTATATTTTAAATGAAATCAACGAAATAGTCCACATAGGAATCTTGTGGCTCTATAGGAACGACGGGCTGATAATAGTGCCAGTCAACAGAAGAGAGTAAGTAACATAAATAGAAACAATTTTTAAACTTTTCAAGAGCCTCAGAAATT